TTCATATATGTAAAACAGAACATGATCATATTTCAATACGTAACTTCTGCGCAACCCAAAATTAAAACGCCACAGTAAAATAAATGAGAAAAACATGGTATTTCATTTGCAATACTTGAAAATATGTTAACCTTCTTAATCATAAATGAGCTCTTAGAAATCAGTAACAAAGAGACTAACATTAAAAGGGAAATGAAAATAAAAGAAACAGAGGAAAATGAAATAATGCAAATGATTAATAAGATGATATGAAGATGATGTAGCTTAACATTAATAGATGAAAAAGCAGTTTCTTTGTAATATTACATTATCAATGATCACAAATACAGAAATCTAACATTTGTATAGAATATTAGGAAATAAGGAACTATTAAACACTGGGAAAATTTACTCCAGTTTTGGGAAATTTACTCAAAATTTAGATCTTGTATGTACTTTGTCCTGGCAGTGCCAATCTGTAGGAATTATTCCAACAGAGTAGTTGGACAATTGAAATTTATGTATAAGTATGTTTCTTACATAGAAAATCTATAGCTAATTTATCACCCCCAACTACTTGTGTATCAATTGATTTTAAAAAAATAGATTGGGGGTGTTCATTAAATATTAATTTAGGTCTATTTAGGTTAGGTTCTGGGCTAGATTCTGGAGACACAAAAGTGAATAAGACATACTCCCTGTCCCCTTAAAGCTCATAATTCAGGGGTAGGCAGATGAGTAAGCAGACAGCAACACACTTTGAAAGGCGCTATTGTTAAGGTGTGTTCCAAATCTGAGGAACCCAAAGATACTTCATTCTACTGACCTCTCTTCTTAGCTAGCAGCTTGAGAAACAGGTTTGAGATGATCAAAGCATTTGTACCACCTAACCAGACTCCCCTGAAGCTACTGAGACAGTCTAATGTAGTGTAGTCTAGTGAGACATATACATGCCTCATTTTGTCTTTTGTGTGTATCAAATTTTACATAATAAAACACTTTAAAATAAGATGTTTTTCTGTCTATGGAACCAGAAAAGACAAGAAAAAAAGGTTGGTGACCTTGTGTGCTCCCCAAATAAGGATTTGTGGAGAGTGGGTGTTCTATACTATTGTTGGAAATGAAATTAGTACACACTCTATGGAGGGCATTCTGGCAATATCTATTGAAAACTTTAAAGTGTATATATCATTTGATCCAGTAATTACACTTTTAGATATTTATTTTAAGGAAATAGCAGTATAAGTGTGCAAGGACATACTTCTAAAGATTTTTATTTTATATTAATTATAAGCCTGAAATGTTGGGAAAAAATCAATTATTCAACAATAGAAATTTGGTTAAATTAGCTTCAGTATTGACATGAAAAAATGTCCACATTGTTAAGCAAAAAAAAGAGGAAACAATAAGAAAGAGAAAAGTGGTCCCTGACAGATGGGAGTTGGCCTGGCACTCATAGCCTCGGTGTTTTCCTATTGAACATAAAGGATTTCATAGAACACCAACATCAGACAAGGACACTCAGTGCCGATGATAGATGAAGAAAAAAATGAGATCACTCTGTAATCACGTCTGAATGCAGGCAAAACAGGAACATTGTCCAGACCACAAAATGACTGAGCAGCCTCCTGTCCCAGCTAAGAGGAATGACTGCTGCTTCTTTACCAGTTCTTCACTGGCTTTAGCTTTGCCGCAGTCTTCCCTCCTTCCGGATGAGAGTTAAGATACCCACCCACAGAATTACCCTGCTTCCTTAAACCCTTCTGCAAACCCCCTAGCACAAGCCTGAGTCCCATAATAAGTTCTTTCTAGCACCCTCTTACTGAAACACCCCACAGTTCCCCATGCCATGCATTCTCCCCCACAGCAAAGAGTAATAACCCCAACTTGCTTGACTACAGGTGTGTTCCCAGTGATCTTTGGCTGGAGAGCAATGACAACCAGTACTATCGTATAATAGTTTGTAATAGATATGTATTTCCACTGTCATAAAATTGTGTGGCATAGCACACAACAAACTGTTAGCAATGGTCACCCCTGATGAGGGGTTTTACTTTTGATTTACTATCTTATTTTTTATTTTATTTTTAACAATGTGCATGAATTGAGATGGAAGGAGGAGGATGATGAAGAGGTGGGGAAGGAGAATAAGTGAAGGAAAAAAATGGAAGAATGAAGAGAAATGAGGATGGCAGTGGCAGCAGCTCTAAGACATGTTTGATAATGATGTTATTAGAGGATCTTTGTGTTCTTCTTTAAATATCTATAATATGCATTACACTTGAATATGAAACAGTTATTTTTAAATGAAAGAAGATTGTCATTTTTCCGGAGAAATACGGTATGACTATTTCTAATTTTTTATTTTTGCAATAGTGAAGTAGGGATCTCATGCCCGACTAACGTTGAACACAAGTTTGAAGACTTTTGGTTTTCTGTGTCCATTGCAGTATAGTTAGATGCAGTAGGTGTCGCTTTTTCCCCAAGAATAGCCTGTTGCTAACACTGGTGGAAGTCTGCTCTGAGCTGTGCCCAATTCTGTCAATTATCTGTCTTCAAGATTTGCCTAATCTCTAACCTTTGAGTAATGTGTACTTGTAGTTTTCCTTCCTTCTGTAATTTAGATGCATGATCCAATCTAGATAAGGGAAATTACCACACATTCTTTATTATTTTCTGTAGAACCTTCACATAGCCATCCTATTAGATTTTCATGGTGATCCGAAGCGCTTCAGGCAGGTATTATTGGCTTCATTTTAGAGATGAGGAAGGCGAAGTTCATCAGAAAACTGAGGTCATTAACAATTAATTGGTCAAGGTTTCTTTCCCCTTCATTAGCTAATTCAAGAAACAAGGATATAGGCAGCAAATAAAGCACTATTTGTGCTTTAAATATATGAATATATATTTACTGTTGTAAGTATATCAACCTTAAAAATGCATTCCCATCAGTTTCTGAGAACTGCAGTACAAACTATGAGAACTGAATGTGCTGCTCGCGTACTGTGATTATGCAAAAGCTTCGAGGGATGCATTACATGGGGAAGCCCTCTCAACTTCGGACAGGGTATGCAGTCTTCAGAGGTCTGGGAGTTGTTTGGAAACACCTAGGCATCCTCGGGGAGCATGCTGAAGGTGACTCATGTTTGCACGTGCATGACTTGGGGTTGCGTTATAAACATGAGGTTGTGTGCTGAGTGGTAATATCAGATGCAAAGGACTGTTTGCTCCCTCTTTTGGAGGTCTCATACTTTTCCAAACCTTGCATGTTATCAATTATCAGGCAATCATTTCCTGAGGCCTGCCACATAGCTGCTGCTTTCCCTTTTTTCTAGTTTGCTTTTCCTAAAATGTTTTGGAGTTAGAAATCAAATAACCAAGCTAGGTGGAAATGAGTATAACGTAAAGATTTCCCAGGTTCAAAGCAACTCTATTTGAAGGCATTTGTATCTGTGCATTAATTCCTGGTTCATAACTAAATTATGGAAAGGAGACACTTGCCATAATGGTTCTGGATAGATGAGGGATGACTATGCCAATATTTTTCAGAGTCCCAAGATGATCAAGGCCAGCTTTGATCTCAGTCTACTGAGTCATACTGGACATATATATGGCTTGGTCACTCCATTGCTGCAGCCATGGGAATGCTCCTGTCTGGGGTGATGGTGTCCAGCCTTACAGAGTGAGTCTGACCACCCTACAATGGTGTGGTGGGCAGTGGGCCAGGAGGGAAGCTGGTGGGGTGTGGGGCAAGTACCAGGCAAAAGAAGTACCAGGCTCTGGGGGCAGGCTGCTGGATTATGACTCAAGTTGACACAGGAAGATAGCAAATCCAGTCCTCTCCCCAGAGGAATTGAGACCTGATGGGGGCCTTCTCACAACTTCAGGGTGCAGGGTGGAGAATAAATAAGGATCAGATACACCACACATACCAGCAGCTTGTGCCCGGCAATGTTCCTAAGATGAGATGGGGAAAGGTAGACACAGGGTTCATGAAATGTGGCCAACAGAAACGAGGTAACAGAATGCACCCAACCAGCCGTCTGAAATACAAGGCAGGGACCCAAGGGAAGAAATACATATATGGGACATTTAAGGTCCCAAGATGAGGGGGATGAGGTGACAGGAACTGGTATGCTCTGCCTATGACCTTCAGCCCCACTGTGGGGCTGAGAAGCCTGGCATTTGGAGGCTTCAGACTGCCACAGGGATCTCCAAATTCACCCACTGGGGAGGCAAAGGCTTCTGTTGGATGTGTCACAAGGAGGAGCCCTCTTCACTCAGGCAAGGTAGGCAGGCTTCAGAGGGCTGGGGGTTCTTTGCAAACAGCTAGGATAGGGCTAGGACTAGGTATAGGTACTGAGGACAGGGGCCATGGTTACCTGGGGAACTGAGCCCAGAGTAAACTTTTGTGGAGTCCACAGATCTGAGGCTTCTGTTCAGAGGTGCAGAGACCAGGCAGAGCAGACCAGCTTGGTTTTTCACAAAGGTGGGAGTTGGAAAGTGGCCTTAGGTCACAAACACTAACCACTTTAAGAGAAATGCAGCTCATCCCACTGACCTTGAAATGAGTTTTGCATGTGCATACACGAGTGTGTGTGTTTGTGCGTGAAAGAAATTTATCTAAAAAATTACATACATATGCTCATAATAAAGCATTTAGGACATGCTGAAAAGTATATAAAAATAAGAATCACTTCAAAACCCATAGGCCAGAGATACAATCTCTAAATATATTTTGGTGGATTTCCTTTCAGACTTTTCTCTACGTATATATTCAACATGGGGATATAAATAGATACTTTAACTAAACATAGTATGATACTATTTTATAAACTGCTTCTTCCATTTGATACTATATCTTGGATACTTTTCCACCATAAAATGTTATTCTATATCATCATCCTGCAGTAGGATTCTATTGCTTGATATTTCTTTTTTCTTTTTTTTTTTTTTTTGCACCAAAGGCATCTCCTAGCTTTATTAACGGGACCGCGCTGCAGAGTCAATATAAAAACACAAAAAGTCCCATCAGTTTAATAACAATAAAAAAACCCCAAAAGTGGAAAACTGAGGGGGCAGGGGAAGAGACTCCTAGGCCAGGGGCACGAGGAGCCCTGCTCATGGCACCAGGCCTGGCCGCAGGGTCCCCCGGTGTTGCTGTTGCTACGAGTTCGAGGGGCAGCGATTGTTCTGTGGGAGCCACCGTTCGCCTGGGTCGGGGACCCTCACTTCTTCTGGGGTGTGCTCAGCTTCTGCATGCCCCGGATCTTGCCCGGCAGGCCAGAGGTGAAGGCCTCTGTGGGTTTGTAACAGTCAACCAGCAGCCCGGGCATCATCACTCTCCTTGTCCAGGAGCTCATCCACATCAATCTCTAGTTCTGGGATCTCCTCTTCCTGGCAGTCGTAGAGGCGCGTAAGCTGCTCCAGGATCCACTCCTCCAGGTTGAGGCGCTTCCGTAGTTCCTTGAGGTCATACTGGACGGTGACCTTCCCTTGGCGCCTCACTGGGCCCTCATCGTCCGTGCCGCCCGGGCCCTCTCCTGCGGCCCCGGAGGGGGCTCTGAAAGTAGACGCGTGGTCCTGGGCCGCCACTGCCCGGCCCGGGGACCGGGGCCACATGGGAATGCTCCTGTCTGGGGTGATGGTGTCCAGCCTTACAGAGTGAGTCTGACCACCCTACAATGGTGTGGTGGGCAGTGGGCCAGGAGGGA